GGTCTGGTATGGTCTGATAAACGTCTGGTTTCTATGTATTTTATAACTACGGAAGTCAAGTATAATCTGGTCTAGTCTGAACTGGACTGTTTAAGTCCGGTCTGGTCTAGAACTGATTACAGTCCAAGTAAAAACATCCTAATTGGTATTCTTTGATACGGAGTACTACGTATTTGATACTGCGGGCATGTGATTGAAATAAATGGAAATGAACAATCACTTAATTGTGGTGATATTGGCTAGTGAAGTCGAATTGCCAATTTATCATGCGATGCATACAATTACACATCTTTGTGTTCTTGATTTCAAGAAATCCAATTAATTTAGACCCGGCCATTTTTATTTAAGTCATACTTATTTGAATATAGAAGACAAGATTACAAGAGATATATGGATGGTTATGAACAAACTGGTTACTTGAAGTTTTAGCTTCTTTTTATTAGTACTCATGAATAGAGAAATGAGAAATCAATGGCTTCATGAAAACAAAAACTGCGAAGCATTGTAACGTACTAACGTTAAACCTTGTAAGTCTGTAACGAAGATAGAGTATACGTAATATTAACATTTTACACAAACTGTTAACAACATCTCCGTTGTCGTCCAGCGGTTAGGATATCTGGCTTTCACCCAGGAGACCCGGGTTCGATTCCCGGCAACGGAACTCCTATTTTTTTAATTTGCTTCTGGTCGCCGCGACGTGAACGGAAGTTATGTTTTTGGTTATGGGCTGCCCCCGCGCGTTTGCCAGATTAAGATTTTATTAAAGTGACCATCAGTAGGTAATTAGTGTGTTAGTTATTTGGGTTATTGTCCTGAATGGGACTAAATAATTGCTCATATTCCCAAATAGGAATACATCAGATGAGTGTTTGGCTTAAAAAAGTTGAAAAGAGTGTTTTCAAATGATAGCTTATGCTTAAATTAATCACTTAAAAGCTAAAAGCTGGAAGCAGGTAGAAGGGTACTTTAAACTGCTTCTCACTTTTTCTATTATACAAAAGTACTTATTTTACCAAACACTACCAACTTTTACTTCTTCAGAATCACTTTTTTCTCAAACACTACCAACTTTTACTATTAATCACTTTTCCCAAAATCACTTTTTTAAAGTTGAAGCAATCACAAACACTCCCTTATTCCCGAAATAAGATTACTATTTCAACTTTACCCTCCTACCTGCATCCTTCTCCTTCGCCCAGACTATTCCCGTCTCCCCGCACCATCGATTCAACTTCTCTTCCCTTCTCCACACATAATGCAATCTTCCCTTAGCACATTAGGTTTTCTTTTCTAAATCTTAAATTCTTTTCCCCACACTAGCTTATCTTCTCCAATATAGTCATATTTCAGGTTACAAGATGGTGAGTCTTCGTCTCTGGTCATCTTCTCTGATTGGAAATTAAACCTGCAACAACAAGCTCTTCGGTTGCGGCGGCGGCTAGCATCGTCTACCGACGAGCAATACAATTGCCAAAACTTTATCTGAAAATGCCATAAAAATGGCATTTTTATTCTTCAAAAATTTTGTATTTTCCTTTAAAAATGCCATTAAGATGACAACCTCGATTCAAGTTGGCATTCTGTTGAAAAAGTTGGCATCAGCGGCGCCGGCAGCCAGATCTGCAGAAGTGGTGGCCGGATCTGCGACGGCGGCGACCGGATCTGCAATGGTGGCTGCCGGATCTACATGGGCGGCAGTCGGCGGCCAAATATACGGCGGTGGTGGCCAACTCTACAGCGGCGGCGGCCAAGTCTGCAGGGGCGTTAGTTTTGATGCTGCGGTGGCGACTGGTGGATGCCAGCGGCGGCTGCAAGTCCGGTGGTCTGCAGGTCCGCGGGTATGCTAGTGGATGTTGCAGTGTTTTTGTCAAGGTTCTGGGATATTTCTGTCCAATAACAAATAATAACTCCTATTTTGAGAATATTTAAACTTTAGTCCTATTTTGGCAATTGAGAACTTAATTAGTCCCATTTAGGTAAATCTCCCTAGTTATTTCAAATAGTCTAATGGTAATTGGTAATCAACTTATACAACTTGTAATCTTGTATTGCTCTATATTGATGACAATAGAATATTTTTATCCAATTTCAATTCAAAAATATTCTTTTTAAGTCACTAATATATTTCGTTGTAAAAATGAATAAAATTACTTGACAATTTAACTAAAAATTATGAACTAGTATTGGAAAACATGGTCATGGCATCGCTAGGGTTATCGATTTTTTCCCACCGAGGTGAGACTAGTTTTTCTGCTATCCAAGTACATTTCTTCGCGCAACGAGAGCTGACAATCACAAGAAGCGTGAGGGCGATGACATCAGGACCAAAATATGGAACCGGGCGGGTCGGGTTCTATAGGCCCGCCCAGAAGCATGATGATTCAGGTTTTTGTTTTGATTTATGTTTTCTGTCAGTTTCGTTTTTTGATTTCGGACTCCATTGTTTTTTGCTATTGGTTTATATCCACACACATTCTCCACTCAAAATCCATAGGTTGCGTGTTGGGCCTACGGGTTGAATGAATAAATCTCATCGTATACTTCAAAATAATTACAAAGTAGTGCACATATGACTTAAGACTTGATTTTATATTTCTATCTCACACTTGAATTATCTATTGTATCACGACCTTCTTCTCTATCTTATCCCGAGCGAAAATATTCGGATGCTGCCGTCGTTCTGATGGCCTGGGGGCAAAAAGTCTTATTTGTGAAATTCTAAATAATAGGTTCTATTCGAAAAAATGGTATTGTTTTGGTCCTATTCCTTGAATGAATTTCTCTTGACTTATATGGTGTTTTTCCTTCAACGTTACCAATAAAAATGTCATGGACAAAAAATGTGACTTGGTAACTATTAGTGACTACAGTTTTGCTTAAAGTTTATATCACAATGACTTACATTTAGTTACTACGATGTATATTTCGAACATAATTATAGTCACTAATAGTTACTAATTAATATTTTTGTCCATCACATTTAAAAGAGTAATATTTATGAAAATTTTCAACTTATATCTCTTACGTAATTTTTTCTCAAAGTATTTCATTTTGGGAAATATATTATTATGTGCAACATTTCCCTTTTTACTCATGTTTAACCGTAACCTTTCATCTTCTCTTTGATATCTGATCTCTTATTACATCATCTATTTTGTACATCTTTATCTATTCTCTTTTACATTTTAAGTCTCTACACACAACACATTAATTGCAAATGTACTGTATTTGCAAAAAACAATTTGCTACACTAGACTCTCTCTCTCTCTAGCCGCAGAAGTGAACTCCTTGTGCATTAGGTTTTGGAGCCGCGCATCGACGTCGGCTAGGATTTTGGAGCCGCATCGGCGTTTGGGATTTGTTTAGCATCTTCAGCGAGAGAGTGGGAGATGAAGGATAACAAATCAAGGGAGGTGCAAACCTTGGCCGACAGAAACAAGGTCAAATTTGCCCCAATCATGACGAACGATGATGCAAAGGACATAAAGAGGTAGGAGACGTGAATGGATGACGAGATGAGCAAGGAAGAGGAAGTATTGATGACACCCCCCCCCTCGAACCACCACCTTGTAGTGACCGCAGAGCTGAGATCGGAGGCCAACATTTTCACGGTTGAATTTGGTCATCTACCCTTATGTGCTATACTGCTATACTTTACGTTCAAGTTTAAATTTTTTCTATTTCATACTTTTTCATTTTGTTAATAAATTTGAGTTGCATGTGCTTTTTGTTAGAAAAATGAGTGGTAGCAATCAAACTAATATGGCAGATGATAGTTCTCAAGGAGTGAGGAATTGTATTGACCATATGGTATATAGAGGACAACTTTGGGTAGATGTTAAGCATGATAGAACTTGTTTGTTCCTAGGCCCCCCTTCCCTCCCCCGAAAATTTCACTAAATAAAACTTATTTACACAAATATGATTAATAGTTACTATAATGAATGTCATGTGAATTTAAATTTAAAAATAAAAGTAATACTACGTATGAAATAACATTATGACAAGAAATCCATTCATTTAAGACATTAAAAACTAGTAGGAAACTCTTAAATAAATAATACGATAGTACGTAGTATTTGGGAATACATACACTTATTATGTAGATACTCGGAATTATTGAAAGTTATTTGCAAAGTACTCCGTATATACGATAGTATTATTTTTAGTTAATGTAAGATGATTTGTACTACATGTTATTTAAATCCCACATTCCCCTCCTTTGGAATAAGGCATGTATCTATGAAGTTGTATCGGACATGTAACAAAAAAAGTTCTGACCCAATTTTTGATTTACTTAAACTTGCTCAAGCTGAAATGCATAAACATCTAAATTATATACTCTTTGTAGGCGGTTTCGCTTTAAAAATACCTCGTACTAACGTAACACAGACATCTAAAAGTATTCAATACTATGCATTAATCCACCCGTCCTGTTCAGATTGTTCATCCTTCTTTTCGTTCCGTCACAATTAAATTATCTCATATTAAATTTAATAAAGTATGTATGGTTCTTAATCATTTTTACTTTATTTTCATTATATCAATTTAATATCAATCATATAAATTGACTTATATAATAATAGTATCATTTTCTCGAGTCTGGTCACTCTGGTGGCTCAATGTTAGTGAGGCGCGATTAATATTACTCATGCCATTTTTTCTAATATTATTCGTGAACAATATGTTAGTAATAATGCACTAAATAGTTGCAATGATTAGATTTAATGGCGTACGTTTTATGTTTAATTGCCTTTTTAATTTAAGAAGAATTAGATCGACCGTCCAAATCTGTCTGCCGCCATCCGCGTCAGATTTCCCACATCGGATACCTTTTCATGATATGAGAAACTGACAACCCTATCCAATCAGAAGCTTCCACGTCGGCACCGTATGTACTGGTCATACCCATGTGGGCGTAATCTCCGGCAGTGGGAATCCAAAGAAATCGGTACCGTATTCAATTCCAATACTATAACTGTTGCTGAAAATTTTGGCGGGCCTTTTCCTCAATTTCAAATTCCCTTTTCTTTTTCTCGGGAAATGCCAAAACCCTAGGTCCCGCCCCTTTCTCTTCATTTCCCTCCGTCTCTCTGATATGGGTTTCTCTTTCTCTCCTTTTTCGCACCTGGTGATGTGATTGCTCATCTTCAGGTTTGTTGTTCTTCGTTATGGAATTTAATTTAATTGTTCGATTAAAGGTTTGATTTTGTGATTCAATTTCAGTTTAGTTACTCTGCTCTAATTTCTTTCCTCTGTAGCACGGTTATGATAACAATTAACTCTAGTGCCCATCTGTTTTTGTGTGTCGTTATGCATGAATTTGCTCTTTTGACTGAAAGATTCTGTTTTTCTTTAGATTTCAGATTCGGGTTGTGAAGGGTTTTTAACTGGGGCTGTTCTTTGACTAGCTAACCAAAGTTTCTTTTTGGGTTTCCGTAGTCTGTTGGATTACTGTTTCCTTGCTACTGTTAAGGATGGTCATTCCATGCTGTTGAGTTCCTGATTAGGGTTGAATTTTGACTTGCAGGTTCAATGAAGGCCATGTATGAGGAGTGTTCTTTTTATATTTAATAAATTAGAAATAGAATTGGACTCTCTAAAGTTATAGGAAACTGGTAGGAGGGATTGTTTGAGGGAATTTTTTTTTGAGAGAAAAACCACTCACATACAATGTCTCCTAGAGATAAGCAATCGAGAACTCATAAACAGAAGAGGCGGACAAGGAGTTCGAAAAACAAGTATCTTAAACCAGGTGCCCTTGCTCAGCTTCGCTATAGTAAGGTGTCAGCTGCTAAGTCTTGTACGGACCTTGGGAAAAAAAGGATAGCTGTAATGGATGCAGATGAGCCGAGAGTTGATGCCCAGCTGCAGAATAAAATTAGTGTTCAAAGCCCGGCAGCATTAACTCCTGTGGGGCTTAGAGTTGACTCTGTTTGTTCACCATTTGATATGTCAAAGGTACATAATTTGCAAAAGACTCCAAAGACACCTTGTGCTGAAGTGTGTGAGTCAGAGTCTCGACTTGAATCACTCCCAATGGATTTGCTGGTAATCACATTCTCCTATACATCTTACCTTTGGTTCTTGCTTCTCTCGCTTTTGTATTTGTATACTTATTGGTGACTCACTTTTAGCAGGAATTTTATCAGGGAATTCCAAATGTTTTTTCTTGTATAAATGAACCATCTCTTTATGCTTATACAATATGAAATGCTACTGTTTCTTACAATTATATATAACTGTGTTTACCCACTCATAAAAGACTAGTTGTTAATTATAATTGCAGTTCTGGTAAGACAGATTCAATAGTGCATTATGGCTTGCATTCCTTGATCATAATAACTGTTTTTTCTTTCACCTGGGTATTTTTTGCATGTAATGTATAATAAAAGAGTGTGTGTTTCAGAGTAGCATACTACAAGGGATTCGTATATTGAATTTTTGAAGTTTGAAACACAATGCTTATATGTTAACTCAAATTTGAGGTCTTCAAAAGCACTAATCTTTTCTATGTTGTGATCAAGGTTAAAATACTCTGTCACCTTCACCATGACCAACTCAGGCCTGTCTTCCATGTTTCACAGAAAATCAGAAAGGCAGTGAGTTTATCTTCTCTTCTCTTCTCTTCTCTATTTGCACCTAACAAACAAAGAAAGAAACTAAAGTCTGATCAAACTGGAATGTAGGTGATTCAAGCTCGACAATTTCATTTTAATTATACTACTCCAGATCGAACTCGACAGGAGATGTTGAGGATCATGACGCCTCTCCCAACAGATCACTGGCCTTTTGTAAGGTAGTTATCTTGGTCCTTTATCAAATAGATTTCATATAGCTGATTTAGGTCTCATTTGGTAGTGCACTTGGATTTATCTGTTTGTATCAGCATAAACAGCTTTTGATATGCTCATTTGGCTGAAATGGATGTTGCCAGATTATTTTTCTTTTTTAAAAACACAGCCTTTCAGCCAAATAATCCTTACTAAATGGGCTCATAGGGTCAGTTTGGGAGTTGAGTTTGTATAGGATCTGGGGAGGGCTAAGTGTATATCTTGATTTATATTTTTGAGGCTATAAAATTGAAAGAATAACATATTCATTCGTAAACATTATTTCGATCTCCCTGTAACTCACCAACATTCAATTTATCAATATATAGATCAAGCTCCAAACAACTCAAAGCCCTCCATCCAAACTGACTCTTAAGCTCTTTTTTATAGTACGCTTTGCGTTTTTCTGTTTATTAACAAACAAACATCTTGTAACTTACTTGGCTGAAATAGACGATGCTGAACACTTCTTCAAAAAAAATTAAGTCTTACTAACTAGCCCCGTTGATATTTATGTTGATCTCATATCTCTAGTACAATGGCCTATATTTTTTAACAGCAAGGGGGGAGGGAAAGGTTTGGTTCACAGCCCACACACCCCGAAAGCACCCAGACATGGTCCCCGACCTCCTTCGCGTTTCAAGAACTCTGAAATGAGGCAAGTTGCAGCTGTCCTCTTTCAAGAATCTGCATTTCCTTCCAGGTGCTTAGTGCCGTCTGTTCTGTCAAAGCAGCCTATATGCAAGCCTTTGGGTTCCAACAGAGTTCTGTTTTATGAAGATGAGCTGTGCCAGGCTGTTGCGCAGAACAAACTTTTATGATCACCGACTACCCGTCTCCCATAGCTCCTTCGGGTGTGTTTATGTGTGTATAAATATATGATAGCATTAGTGGTTGTGGTGCATTTTTTCCATTTTACAGGAGCACTTATTGGAGTTATTGTCATTCAGAGATTGTCTTAGAAGGTAGAGATGAAGTTTGTGAACTGAATAATACATTTAGTACGCCAGCAGTTGGTCTTGTGCATAGGTTTTCTGTATAATGGATTGGTTTTTAAATTTTATTTGAATACTGATGTGGCGAAACATCTAATTCGCCTGCTTTGGTGTTTTATTATCTAATTTAGATTTATACAGAGTAGTAGATAGACAGCTAGTGTTTTTTATATTATGGCTGGATTTTTCTTGTGCTTCAAGAGCTGACATTCTATCTTTGCTGCAATTAATGGTTTTAGTCGGCCTGTTTTCCTCATCCCAATTTTTTTTAAACAAAAAATTAACGTCAATTTTGTCATGGCAAAGTACATCTTACTCCTAAACTCACACCAAGTGACAGTCCATTTTGCTAAAAAAAAGAAGATACCAGGTAATATTGCTCTGGTTATGGATCAAGTAGAATATACAGTTCTGGTCAGAATAATAACCTGATTTCCTAGATTGTTTAAAAGAATCAGATTTGGCTAGTCCAGTGACTCCAGTCCTATACTCCTATTTCGAATGAATCAGAATGGGAAATAACCGCTTAGAACTGTTACAAGTATTGATTTTGATTCCACACAAGCTGACCGGTTTGGTTATCAGTTAAACTTGCTGGTCATGGTCCAAAACCAGGATTGTTGTATTCACACTCACCCGACCTCTTGGAACTATATTGTCACCAAATGAACACATTGGAAAGGCCACAGTGAAAGATCCGATTACTTCTGAGGTGGGCCAACGGAGGGAGGTTGAGAAGTGCCTAAGAGACTGGCCTGCTGGAGCCTGGAGATCGAGTTCGTTGAGCTGGTGCTCCCGGTCCATTACAATGATGAGTGGGACGGCTATGATAAGAAGAGTGGTAGCGGCGATCCACTCTGCCTTGCCGGCACTCTTGGCCAAACGCTTGCTTACGTACAGAAGCGGCGCTCTTTCCTTTGCGGACTATGGAAGACTCCGAGACACGACTAATAATGGAGCGGTCATAGCTGCTGCCGCCGGATTTGCCTTTGATTACAAATTGTAAGTCTTATTTATGCAAAAATTTTAAGGAGCCCCATATGACTTCCACAAAATAAATGAATGGTGATTGTGGTGCCACAATAACCCATATGACTCCATAAAGGGAGTCATATGGTGTTCCATAAATCTACTCCTTATTTATGACATGAAACAATTTTAGATTGTTAACAATAAAAACATTCACATTAATAAAATATGATTCTCTTATGGCATGTAAAGAATGCTTTATTTATGAGCTGTTGATAATTGGGTAGATGAGAGCCTGAGAGGGGGAGCAAAAGTGTAATTTATTTGGATAATACATACAATTGTGCATAAGTACTATGTTTTTTTAAACGTGGAGGGGGGACCCCTAGATCCGTCCATGTTTTTTAGAGTATAACTTTGGAGATAGCAAAGTGGAGGACGCACATTCGTGTGAACAATTGATCTTTTTTCTATCTTTTCTCACTCGGTTTCTTTGATCGTTTATCCTTTTTATCCTTTTATGTTCTTATATTATTTTTATCTTCTACGTTTTTAATGTTCTTTTATCTTTTTATCTTTTATCTTTCTTATATTCTTATGTTATTGCTATCTTAATTTATTTATTTTTATCTTATCCGTTTATCTTACTTTTAATTTCTTCATCTTTTGTGTCTTCTATTTTTGGCATCGATGTCATTAATAGATTAATGTTAGCCGATCCCAAAATCTTTTAGGATTAAAGATTGGATGTTTTTGTTGTTGTTGTTGGTCATCACTAGCAGAGTAGCACTATAACGAGTAACAACGCTATGAGGTACAAAGGCTCACTTTTTGTTGATAATCAAAAGATGCTCTCAACTATGACCATCACACAAATTAATATTCTGCCCGTGAAGACTATCATCTAACTTTTGTTTAATTGGTATTAACTCACCCTTAATGGATCCTCAAAGGTTAAGTTTATCTCACATAATATACTACCTCTATCACCCTAAGATTGATACAAGAGGGAGTGATGCGGTAATTAATACCAAATTTCCGCTAAAACTTCAATCGGGAACACATTCAAATTAATTCTTGAAGATAAATGTGCAGTTATCTTCAAAAATTAATTTGAATGCGTTCCCGATTGAAGTTTTAGCTGAAATTTGGTATGAGTAAACTAGACTTGATGAAAAAGATGCAAAAAAAAAAAAATCATCAAAAAATTCCACCGGGAACCGCCCCAAATCGCGACGGTCGGACAGAGCCTCCTATATAAGGACTTATTTGACCTTTTTATGAAAGTTCGAGAACCTATTTGACAGTTTTCCCAAAATAATTTAAGGAAAGTTCAAAGATTGCTTTACACTTTACCTTGTATTTTCGCAAGATTCCTTCAGATATTTGTTTAAATGTGTGACCCTGAGCTCACCGGTTGGAGTTGCGGAAGCAGCCTCTTGCATAAATACAAAGTAAGGTTTGCCTATATGATTTACCCTTGTGGTGGGCCCCTTCCTAATCCTAGCTAAGCAAGATTGCCATTGATATTTGTTAACACGTTAAGCACTTTTTTTAATTACACAAAGACTAATAAATTTAAACTTGTTCAAAAAGCTAAAATGTTTTGCCAATTTCAAGTTTCCTTTTTTTGGCATAAGTAAATCCAATACAACATATCTAAACTTTAAGAGTTTCGGGTCGGCTAAAATGAATCGACATAATAATTCGGAGCTGAAGAAGATAAGGTAAAGACAGGATGAAGTAAGATAAAGATAAGATAAGCATGGTAAAAGAATACGATAAAAAGACAAAGAACATAAGAAAAATAAAAAAGATTGGTACAATAAAACCAAGGGAAAACTACAGTTTACGCACTTGTGGTTTGGAGTGTTTTCAATTAGGGCATGAGATTCATTTCTGGACAATCACAGGCTCGTGATTGTAGTCCACTATCTCACCTGGGCCACCCACCCTTATGACGTTAGTTGTCGCTTACGTGGCATAAATTTTAATCATCTAATTTAAAATGTTTCTATTACGCATGCACATGTGGCTTTTATGTTAAGACTACAAATTAAAACCCTACACAATACTGTTGAAGAGATTGATCAGCCGTCCTTTTGAAGGTAATAAACAAAGGAGGAAGACGATGATGCGTTCTTCAAACGCTAAGTCTTGGGCGATGGATGCAAGACAACGAGTTAAGAGGTGTGAGTGTGGTCTCCAAGCACCACCGTGGACTGCAACGACAACCAAACACACGGGGAAAAGATTTCATGGACGGATGTGCAAAAAGTGCAATTTTTTTGAATTGGTTGAGGATGAAGAATGTGCTACTTGCCTGAGAAGGATAGATACTTTGCTCTAGAAGATTTCAAGTGTTGAAGAGAAATTCCGGGTGAAAGAATTAGAGATGCAAGCTGAAATCAAGAGTTGTGTTCGTGAGATTGGTCTTTTGAAACTCCAGAATATGGAAGAGGAACTTAAGATGTTGAAGAAAAATAATAGAACTTTGTTCTGGAATCTACTTTGGTTTGTTATCTTCATTATCATCTTGATGGAAAGTAGGATGTATTAGGTGTCAAGCTTGTCATGTGCTTGATAAAATGTCTCAGTCAGATTTCATTATGTTTTGCATATGGGTACTTGTTTGAGTACGTAGTTGTTTTGTATGGTTGTATGGTTGTAATGAAGTGTGTGTGTGTGTGTTGAATTTGGTTGTATGATTGTAATGAATTTTATGAATTTGGTTATGAAGTTTTCTCAGCCTCATTCTTCTCTGCCAAGTTGGTTATGAATTTGGTTATGAAGTTTATGAAGTTTATGAATTGTGGTTGTGAACTTAATTGTCAAACATACCAAATTTATCAATTTGGTTATGAAGTTTATCAAATTCTTTTCCTGAATTTGGTTATGAAGTTTATGAAGTGTGGTTGTCAACTTAATTGTCAAACATATCAACTTTATCAATTTGGTTATGAAGTTTATCAATTTGTCAAACATTGCATTACATTACCTGTTTGAACTTACCATTTTATTATAATAAACTTAAGCAAAAATGAAAGTAACACATAGTAAAAAAAGGCTTAGTCATTTCATCCCAACCAACAAAAATAACAAATACACATATGATGTTTAAGTTCAACCAAACCAAAATAGCACATTACAGTGATTACCTAATGAGTTCAAAAACCCTTCCAAAACAGACCACCCAGTACATTTCAGCAAAACCCTTTCCAAAACAGACTACAAAAACTATCCAAAACAAATGACAGATAACATTTGACCAACCATTGTCTGCTACATTACCTAGTGTTCTGACATTTCCCAATTACACAACAAGGAGATTTACAACCAGGCATCTTCTCAGCAATTAGACCACATCACCTCATTGAAGCACCCATCTTCAACAGTGTTTGTCCTGCAACATAGTCATCCACTATAATGGGTATAAAACAATCATTTGAAGTTCAGACCAGTAAGTCATACCAGGGCTCGATGAGGTTGTGAACTGGAAGATCTTGTGATTCTTTTAGATGATGGTTGTGGTGGTTGAGAATGTGAGATTCTTCTTCTCTTTCTTGAAGTTCTTGCATTTGGAGTACAAGTATTGGGGATAGACTTTTCATTTGCAGCGTCTTCAGCATTACCATGTGACCTTGTAGTGGAAGACTTTTGTTTTCTCATCCTTATTCTTCTCTGCCATGGGGTTTCTCCTGTAAGGGATGTCTTACATCCTCGGACAGTATGCCCCACCTGCTTACAATTACCACAAACAACTTGTTTCCCAACCCTAGAAACCTTATATGGATTCTTAGTTTCTTCTAGAGCTTTAATCCTCTTTTTCTTTGGTCTACCAGTTGGCTTTCTTGGAATTGATGGCTTAGTGTCAGGTAAGTCAGTGGTTTCCCACTCTTCTTTACTAGGGACAAAGTATGTGGATCATATGCTTATACTGTTATACACAACTAGGCAGGTAGCTTTTGAGTAATATGCGCTAACATAGTCCTCAGGCTTTCCTTTGTTAGCATAAATAGTAGACACTCCGTGTTTGCATGAGATTCCATTTACATCCCACATTCTACAAGAGAAAGTTCTTTTATTCAAGTTCACCATGTAACTTCTATCAAAATATTCAACCTCGTAAAGTTTGTCACCAGTTAGTGTGCAAAAACAATCCCTACTATCGTA